TGTGTGGGGGTTACTGTTCGAGAGGGTGAGGAGGCTCGCGAACGTGTTGTCTGAATGTACCAACACAAGAGGAGGACGGAGATGACACCAATTTTGACCATAGCGGACCCATCATCGATCTCCCGCAAGCCGTCGTCAACGAGACCAGCCGCGCCACACCAGTGCCACCAGCAGCTACTCAACCAAGTGGAGATGTGGTTCAGCCATCAAATGAAGACAATCCACCTCAGGAAGTCACCGTTATATCACCGCCAAAGGAGCAGCAGCCAACCATCACCAACCAGCCAGCTACTTCAACACCAACCCCACAAGTTCAACGTCACCCGGATCGGCCCACCACTACACCATCAAACCCATCACCAGCCGTCAATTCAGAGGCAACTACAGAAGCTCACCATCATCCAATGCAGCAGCAACCTACAGCTACAAGACTCCAAGTACCTACATCAGCACCATCTACGACTCTTCCTATCAACAAGCCAGCCGTCACCACCACACCTCGTTCCACCCGTTCATCACTTCAGGTTCCAACGTCAAGCCAGCTCATAGCATGAGGATCTCTTCAGCGAGTCACCACAAATACGAGCTCCATCAGCCCACTCCTTCATCCAAGACCCTTCTCTACTTCACCCCCACGTCCCGGAATCGGCCGTCATCAACTACCGTCATCTTCAACACTGAGAACCAACGCCAATCAGACCGAACCGTCTCCAACTTTCGACAACGCAGCGTCATCATCAATTCCCAAGCTTCTAGTCTCAAGATCCCCACCAAGAGAATCTTCACAGCCAACTATGCCGACGAACGTTTCAGCTTCACCGACACAAGTCACCACACCTATTCTTCAAGACAACACCGATAATCAAGAGAGTTCCACGCCGAGAGAAGATCATGCAGTCGTGCCGCCGTCGCAGCCGATGTCACAGCCATTGTCTCAGCCGCAGATGACCGTGTCAACGCATCCAACAACTGTGAGACCGAACCCTACCACTGATGTCTCTCAGCCAAGTGAGGCTTTGGGTAAAGGTAAACGAGTCCGCAAGCTAAAAAAGCCCTTCACATTCATGATTGACATGTCATCAAGGTGCACATGTGAGGAGAGCGAGGATTGCATTCACAAGAAGGTAGAGGCAATATGCATGGCAGCGTCACACCTTCTACGAGAGCCATTGAGTCATCGTGAGGCAGTGGCAAGTCCCGAGAGAGAGCAATGGTTGAAGGCCGAAGAAGAAGAGATTGAGAGTCTCATGAAGAGAGGTACATGGCGTCTTGTTGAGCCACCTCCAGGGAAGAAGGTCATTGGTATCAAATGGGTGTACAAGATTAAGGTAAAAGGTGATGGTACACTTGATAGGTACAAGGCAAGGTTAGTGGCAAAAGGTTATTCCCAAATTCCAGGTCTTGACTTCACCGAAACTTTTACCACGGTACGGGTCCTCCTCGCCATAGCCGCATATCTTGGTCTCCAAATCCATCAAATGGATGTCAAGAATGCATTTCTCTACGGTGTCTTGGAAGAAGAGGTATACATGGCACAACCCGAAGGTTATGATGATGGTACGGGTCAAGTTAGTCGCTTGGTAAAGTCACTTTATGGTCTCAAACAGTCCCCACGGGTATGGTATCATGCTCTTGAGAAGGTACTCTTCAAGCACGGTTTCACAAGGTCCATGAGAGACAACGCTTTGTACTTCATGCACACAAGTGAGGGGGAGTACATTTGGCTGTTGGTATATGTTGATGACCTCCTCCTAGTCTCAGGTTCTCTTGATTTCCTCAACAAGGTGAAAGGTATTCTCATGAGTGCATTCACGATGACCGATCTTGGTGAGCCGAGTCATTATCTTGGTATGAACATTGTGAGAGATCATAAGTCACGGTCCATCTTCCTATTCCACCAAAGGTACATCCATAAGGTCCTTGAGAGGTTTGGTCTTGATGATAGCAAGCCATCACCTACCCCACTTCCTTCCAACTTTGTCCCTTTGTCTTCACATCAGCCCTATGAAGAGAGAGAGTCAAGCCTTGACATCAATAGTATTGAGGAGTTGTGTCTTGAGGAGAGTGAGCATCATGGTGAGAATTCAGCCAAGGTATCCCCCACAAGACCTAGCTCTCTACCAAAGTCAGGTTGGGTGTCTCATGTATGCAGCCCTATGTACAAGGCCCGACCTTGCATTCACGGTATCCAAGCTCGCTCAACACATGAGTGCCCCATCACCTATCCATATGCATGCAGCCAAGCGAGCTCTTCAGTATCTCAAAGGTACTTCTAATCATGGTCTTCTCTTCCAAGCCAGCCCACATGCAAGCTCCCTCCAAGGCTTTACCGATGCAGATTGGGCAGGAGATTTGAGCACACGCAAGTCCACCAGTGGCTATATCTTCCTCATGTGTGGTGCCGCTGTTTCTTGGCAATCGCGCAAGCAAAGTTGTGTGGCGCTTTCTACAACCGAAGCTGAGTACATGGCAATGACCGAAGGAGCAAGGGAGGCAATTTGGTTACGTGGACTCTTGGAGGACTTGAGGCAGCCGCAAACTCAACCAACTCCGCTCTACGTGGACAACACTTCAGCTATCGCCCTCTCCAAGAATCCGGTTCATCATGGGCGTACAAAACACATCGAGGTGCAGTACCATTTCATTCGTGAGCAACTAGAGAAGGGAGTTCTCGCCGTCAACTTTTGTCGTTCGTTCGATCAAGCGGCAGATTTCATGACCAAGGTTCTTCCATATGATGCCTTCAACATGTGCAAGGCGAGAGCTAGCCTCATGACACTTCATGAAGCAGTGCAGCAGTTTGAGGAGAATGAGGAGTATGAGGAGAAGAGACATGGGCAGCAGCATGGAGTGTATGATAAGGAGATGTGAGACGAGCATAAGCATGGGTGTATGTGTGCTTCGGGTCTGGTGCGAGGGGGAGTGTTGGAGAATCGAGATTATGCCGCCCCAGCCCTTTGCACACGAGCAGCAAGAAGGGAATGTCGGCGATGGATCGAAGACTTCGCGAAATATTCAGAAACTTCCGCAACCAATCAGATTTCAGCCGAAGACTCGATACAGTTCAGAATTGCTCTCAACAAGAAGTGTCAATAGTTCCTACAGGTTTCTACAATCCTGAATCAGCTATATCAGAGAATTCCAGAGAATTCCTATGCATGCACCTCATGTGGCTCTCAAAGTCACTCAAGGTCCATGGAAGCAGAATTGTGCCCAAGTTCCCAAGGAAGTTTCCTTGTCAATCAGCCTAGTTTGAGCTTTCAATCTGTCTTGTTTGTGATGCTTAAAGAGTTGTGCTTTAGTGGGCTTGTATAATCTTGAGGATAGTAAAGTTTTCTCTCATCAAGTCAAGTCCAGCAGCTCTGTTGAGCTTTTCCAGCCAAGTTTCCAGCCTTCCAGTCATCAGAGCTACTCTGTTTTACAAGTGTAAGTACCTCCCACAGACTCAGGGTACATTCTTGGCTCGTGTCAGACATCAGGTCAGACACGAAGTGGAGATTCGGAAGACCTGAAGTGACTTGGAATTCAGGCAAATCGGTGTTCGGAAGACCCGAAGTGGCCCACTTCGGGTCTTTCGAACCTCCATCCGAACCTCCACTTCGTGTCTGACACGAGGTAGGAATTTACCCTCACTTCGTGCTTTACTATGCGGATTGCTCGGGCACACAATGAGGGTACATTCTTGGCTCGTGTCTGACATGAGGTCAGACACGAAGTGAAGTTGAGGAAGACCCAAAGTGACCTGTAATTCTAGCAAATCAATGTTCGGAAGACCCGAAGTGGGCCACTTCGGGTCTTCCAAACCTCCATCCAAACCTCCACTTCGTGTCTGATACGAGGTAGGAATGTACCCTGACATTAGGGCGGGTCCAACTTTGCACACTCCCGTTTTTTTCCGTCATTTTTACGTCAACACACTTGTCAAATTTGACTGTACCCCAAGGCGCACTCCTAATGTTTCATGTCCAGTTCGGAGTGTACAGTGCGGACTTTTGACGAGGTACAGTAGCGTTGCGAGGTACAGTACCTGGGAAGAAGAGTTACCACATCTTGCGAGGGTTTCCACATCTAGGGCGAAGGGAACAATACACTAGCATAAGGGTTTTGGCGAAAAACGGGCGTTACTGTTTGACGGGAAACGATTCGGGAGACGAACCTTCGGTCGTGTTCCGCACGTCCCGGGGCACGTTTCTGAAATGAGCTCATTTATGTACAGTCTCGCGTCAAGCGAAATTTGTACGTTAAAAGTTCTGTTGCATGCTTACTTTTGGTAAATGAGCTGAAAATTAACCGTACATGTGCAAAGTTTGACCCGCCCTAAGGGCAGAGTTTGTGAAGTTTGTGTCGCAAACTCTTCACAATGCTCAGAGAGAATGTTTAGGGTTTCGACAAACATTGTAACATCAGTGGCACACTTTGTATACCGTGTACTTTGTCATGTTGCGATTCGTGAGTGTAGCCTCATGATGCGAGAGTCTCTGAACACGGTTCTGGCCTTTCTAGTTGGAGCATCACCACCGTCTGCTACCATGAGTCCGCCATGGATATTACCGCGCAACTTCAAACCCAGATCCCGTGTAAATTCCGTGTCAGTTGGCTTTAAAAACTACAGATCTGGCTTCTTTGCTACAAGGCGCAGCGACCGATACCCTTTTTGTGTCTACACGTCGGACATAGTATCGCTTGCTAAATGAGATCCAGTTTCTTGTCAGGCATCTAACTTTGAGGTTCCTACTGCGTTGCTGCTAACTCCAAGGTTTCGAACTTCTGTACCAAAGAGCGATAACAACATCAATGGCTACACTGGTCTTATTACGAGTATTACTAGCTATGATCCCATGGCCTCAACCTCAGTTTCTCACCATCTGCGCCAAGAACAATGGACAAGCACCAATGGAACTTGCCTAGTTAACAAGCTCAATCTAAGAGCAATGGCATCAGTTCCCTCATCACCAATCTGTTTCTCGGCTCTGCAGCTTTCTTTCCTCCATTGTCGCAAGATGTCTCATAAGGGGAAAGCTAAGGTTCTTCCGGAAGCACCGTCGTTGGATGCTCCTCCTCCATCGACAGCTCCTGCTTCTTCTATGCCTGCAAGCAAGGACAAGGGCAAAGCACCGGTGGATGACTCCAACAACGTGTCTCTCACTGATGCACCTGCTAGCGAATTAGGCATCTCTCAGGAAGAGAAGCTACGCTCTCTTCGCACGATTATTCCTGATAGCGGCTTCATCGAGGGCGATTCTGATGAAGAACTGAAAGTCGAAGTCAAGACAGAGGCTTTTCACCGCGTCCGCTACACGGTGATTCTGCTGTTACCTGTAACTCTCGCGCTGGAAGTGGCATCGGTCATCACCACTGTGCAGACGCTGTTGAGGCGGGTCTGGGCGTCCTCTCTATCTGACGGAGCTTTTGAGTCGGCGAAGTTCCAGGAACTTCTTCCAGCATACGCGGCGAAGACCCGGTACTTTCGTCTGAAGGTGTCGCTCCTGCGTGAAGACGATATCATGAGCATCAGAACTAAGGAAGTGAACTACACACGTCCCAACGGCACGGTGTTTTGATTCTACTGGCAACACAATGATGATCCCGCTTTTGTGCGGGAACGGGCAACAAATCCTCAGGCGATCAAAGTTATCATCCGCGACGTACCTGCGACGAAGACATCGGAGATGCTGCGGGAGCTGATGGTGATCTACCAGCTGAGGAACAGGAGGTGTTCAGCATTCAAGGATGGCGTTTGCTTCCACCACATCCTGCACCCAGTCACTGGCGCCGATACGGACATCATTAAGGGATTGGTGATCCCTCATCCGGGAGATAGGCACCGTTGGCATCACGTCTTCAAAGATCCTTCGGAACTTGGTCGCCGGTACATGGTTCACTTTCCCGCGCTGTCCTGTCTGCTCTGCGGTGGTCAACATTACGACGTCAACCATGATGCCTTCCTCACGGACCGGCAAAATAATATTGAGAAATGGAATCTTACCTTGGGAAGGGTGCAACGTATTAATGGTGCACCCTTGCATTTAATATTGATTTTACTCTTATGATCGTACTCACCATTGCATTTTTGCTTTTGCTAACCCCCAAGGTGTACCGTGTAGCCGCTTCTCTGCCTGCCTCGCCGCTGATCACACCCATTCGGCTGGACCCGGCCATTGTGCTGATCTCTACGGAAGGCAATCGCAAAGAATGGATCTGCACGCAAGTGGGGTGTGGGAAAGCGAAAAGGAAGAGCTTCATGACGGCGGCCAACCACATCACGTCTGCCAATCATCTCATCCATCTGGAGTAGCTCGGGTCAGCCACTCGTGCCTCTCTCGAGAAGGCCATCCTCAACATCACCGAGAAGGAATACGGGATCTGAGACTTGTTCAGCTAGGTTGTCAGTCGGCAGCAGCAGCAGTAGTTTTCGCGGTAGTCGGTGTCTCTTGTCTTCTTACCCTGTGGATGCATAGGGGTTGTCAAGCTGTTATCAAATTAGTAAAAGAAGCCTCATCAGTTTTGCGGGCCTCAATGTCAACGGCCTGGGAGATCGCACCAAAGAACAGCGTGTCATAGACTGATCATGGCAAGAAGCAAACATAGTAGCGCTATCAGACATGAGGCTAGCCTCAGATCACCCTTCGCGGTCCCACCCTACCTTCATTCTCGTAGCAGTAGCCACACCCAAGTCGAAAGCAGGCTGGGTAGCCCTGCTCTGTAGATCGCCTAGTCTCAGCTTCCATAATGTCTTAGTCCATTCCTCGGGTAGACTTGTCTCGGCCGAGATCCATGGTCCCGGCCTGCAACTCACAGTCTTAGCTTGTTACTTCCCGGCAAAGGTGACCTCCCTGGTGACGTTCCTCCACAACACCTTAGGTCCATTAGTAAACCAACTCCCGCGGACGAGTCACCTGCTTATTATCGGCGACCTCAACATTATAGAAGATCCAATTTTTAGGCAACTCGTCTCGCTTGGGACCTACAGCAGTGAATGACAGGCTCTATGCTCGCTGCAAGCAGTTCCAGCTCTTTGACGCTTTCCGTACACTCTATCTGAAGAAACGCTAGTTCAATTTCTTTTCGCAAGCTCAGCAAGCTAGCACCCGTATCGACCGCGCTCTCCTCTCTCATTCCCTCTTACCTCACCTTATTCAAGCTTCTCATGTGATGCCGGCTGTCTATATTTCTGACCACGGCTTTGCTATCAAGGTTGCTCTTTGGTACCCACGAAGGTCTGCATGGGCCTGGGTCTCTAGAGACTTCACGCGTCGATGGTACACAAAAAGGGGGTAAGGAAGATAGTGGAGGAGACAGTGGGAAAGAACAAAGTCACAAACGGTAGCAGTTTCGAACTTCTTCTATCACGGTTGGCAGCGGGTCTTCGTGCTTTCGCGAGGGAGGAAGGCAAGCATGTCAAGGCTACGGTGTCACACCTTGTCAATATTGTCGCGGAGCTTCGTCAAGAGGCAATGCGCAATCCGACCTGCAAGATGACCAGCGAGAAGTTGGCGGCGATGGATCTGCAGTTGCGGGAATACCAGGCTTCACGTAAAGACAAGCTGCATTTCATGTCCGGCATGCGGATGGAGCTCAGAGGAGAAGTGGCATCGCAGAACCTGAAAGCTTTGGTGCAGGCGAGGAAGGCGAGCACCCAAATTGCCGAGCTGCAGACGACGAGCGGGATTGTCTCGGACTCGCAGAGCATTCTCGGCGCAGCATCCGATTTTTTCACGGATATCTCCGGGAAGGACAAGTGTCAATTGGAAGAGGACTGGAAGCCTGAGAAGGGAAAAAGTTGACAACCTGGAAAGCAGCAGGGCTAGCAAAGGATTGGACGGAGGAGGAGGTTAAAAATGCTTTCAGTGCGATTGCGGCAAACAAGTCCCCAGGGCGAGACGGATTGCCGAAGGAACTATTTGAAGCTTATTGGGATCTACTGGGGAAGGGCTTCATGGCCCTAGCGAAAGACTTCGCAGCATCTGCAGTTTTGTCAACAAAATTAAAGAAGCGGTCACGATACCGCTTCACAAAAAGGGCGACAAGGACCAGCTGAATAACTACTGACTTATCACACTGCTTAACTTCACTTACAAGGTGCTGGCGAGGGTGATCGCGGATCGGATGAAGAAAGTGTTGCCCAAGGTAATCTCACTGGAGCAATACGCACTCCTGTCGGACAGGCGGCTAACCGATGCAGTGGGTCTGGTGGCTGACATCATTGATACGGCTCGCAACGACAATGAAGATTGGTTTCTTCTTTTGGACGATTTCAAAAAAAACTTTAATTCCGTCTCCCATGGGTATCTCTTCCAGACGCTGCGGTCGATGGATTTTCCGGAGCGGCTAGTAAGCTGGGTGGAAGGCCTGCATAAGGGGACGCAGACAAGACTCTTAGTCAACGGCTGGATGGGAGAGGGTGTTGAGGTAGTATTCGGGATCAGGCAAGGCTCTCCGTTGGCTCTATACCTGTTTTCTCTGCGCGGTCAAGCCGCTGGCACAGCTGGTCCTCAAGCGGAAGCTCGGAATCAGCAAGCCGGGAGAACGCTTGGCGTACATCTGTTACGCAGACGGCACCACTCTGGTCTTGGAGGGAAATGAGCAGCTGATATGGGCAGAGCAAGTGTTAGAAAAGTTCGAACGGACGCCGGGACTGGCGACAAACCGAGAATGGTTTTACCCTTGGGGAACAATCTTGGTCGGACGACAGGTCGGACGCACAGTTTCAGGTGGGCGAAAGCGGATGAAGCGGAGAAGCTATTTGGGGTATGGGTGACTCCCTCGGGAAGCTGCCAAGAGATATGGGAAAAAACGGCAGAGAGCATTTTGGGAAAGGTTAAGAAATGGCAGCAGAAATATCTCCCCACAAAGGCAAGAACGACGGTGGTCAACAACTATACGATGCCGAAGGCGGCATACCAAGCGCAAGTTTATCCGCCACCGGCAAAGCTCTGGGGACCATCTCCAAAACATTTAACAACTTCGTATCCGCAAATCGGGCAACAGCGAACAAAGGGTTAATGCTCTGGAGTAAGGAGCTATTGCATAGTCTGAGAGAACTTGATGGTGTTGGCGTACAGGACCCGGAGATGTTACTCGCCTGCCTCACGGCTAGGAGGGTGGGGCTGCTAGTGTTGGAGACAAATTAGTTGAAGAAGCACCTCGTGACAAGGGCGGCAAATCTACCTATGGAGAATGAGACATTTTTCGCTCATGAGAAGTTGCTACAGCACTGGGAGGGGAAAAGCGCACGGTGGAAGGTGGCGTGTGAAAACTTCATGAAGACGCCACTGGGCACCTTACCAGAGGTGAGCACACGAGAGGCGGTGATCAGCGAACGGTTGGTCTTCAACAAAGAATTCTGCTGAATGGCACTATGCCAGTCGGAGGACAAAAGGACGCGAAACCACTCTGGGAGAAGTGAATTGGTGATTTACTCAAGTGTGACAGTAGCAGCCTGCCTGCGCTCAAAGATCTGGCTACTCTTGAGCGGGAGCTAGGAGGGAAGGGCCTAGCCAAGCTAGCAGTAAGGGCATTTGAAGCTGTACCTACGAGTTGGATAGATTTGCTGCTCAGCGCATCACCTCAGGGGGGGCAACCAACAAACTTGTCAAACATATATGCTGCTTATTGTGTAGGCTGCAGTGGGGTAGCCCATATGCGGTACAACACAAATTAGGGTTTCCTACTTGTAACCATCCTGTTGCTAGTTCATTCATTCCTGTTCGTTATTATGACATGGTATCAGAGCGGCGGTGGTGGCGGCAGTGGGGGTGGCGGCAGCGGCAGTGGGGGTGGCGGCAGCGGCAGTGGTGGCGGCCGGGGTGGTACCATCTAGAGGGGAGGCCTTGGAGGTGGCCAGAGGCAGCAGCAGTGTCAGCAGTGGCAAATACCAAGTCGTCGACGTACACGAGGATGTAGAACGGCGGCAGCGAGGTGTCGGTGCGCAGAAACAGCGACGGGTCGGCAGTAGAAGGAGCAAACCCAAGAGCCGCAAGTGTAGTCCTCAGTGTGTCATGCCACTCACAGGGCGCCTGGCGGAGACTGTAGACTGGCCGCCGGAGGCTGCACTGGGTGCCAAGAGGAAAAGACCCAGTGAAGCCAGGAGGGCGGCGCAACCAGATCTCCTCATGTAGGTTGTGTTGTAGGAAAGCAGTGCTGAAGTCGAGAGAGTGGAGCTCGTAGTCGCGCTGAGCGTCTATGTGCAGCAGCACCCGAAGAGTAGTCATCTTCGGGGTGGGAGAGAAGGTCTGAAAGTAGTCAACCCCCTGCCACTGACTGAAGCCCCTAGCCACGTAGCGCGCCTTGAAGACAGGCGGAGAACCCGGCGGCCGCTTCACCTTGTAGATCCACATGCCACTGACGATGTTCGCCCCAGGTGGGGGAACCTCGTCAACGTAGGTGCCTGTGGACTTCCAGGAAGCCATCTCTGCGTCCATGGCTGTCTGCCACTGAGTGGAGACCAGGGACAGCCAGCGACCTTCGATCGCCTCAGTGTACGATCGAGGAGTCGGGATGTCTGGTGCATCCGGGTCTCCCTCAGGGGCAATCAGCATGGACACGAGATGAGGCAAAGCAGCAGCAAAACACTGGAACTCCTCCTGCCTGTCCTCAAGGACGTCCGTGCCAAGGGCACACTCACCCCCGACGGACGGAGGACAGACAGACTCAGACTCAGCAACGAGACTAGCAGCATAGTCTAGACGACAGCAAGCAGCGAAGTCGACAAGCTCAGCAACTAGGGCAGACGCTGCAGTGGACTCAAAAGAAGGGTCAGTGACAGCAGTGGCTAGGAGACGCGTGACAGTAGGACTGGCAGCACGCAGAGAGTCAGACTCCGGGTCAGCAAGGGCCGGAAGAGAGGACGCAGGAGGAGACGGCAGAGGGACACGCTGTGGAGCAGTGGAGGGACGCAGTGCCATCTGGTGCGTGCCTGGGACCGCGGGAGGACGCTGACGCGGAACACGGCGACCGGTGCAAACAGCACGAACAGGCGACGTAGGACGCGACGCGGGCTCACGACGCTCAGCAAGACCTCCAGTAGGACCAGCGTAGGGTGAAGGGGCAGGCAGGGGACCGGCAAGCTGTAACTGTGACACGGAGGGGACCGGCTGTGGACACTCTAAGGCAGGAGAAGGACCAGAGGAAGGCGGAAGGCCAAGAACCTGCTGAAGGAGGGGAACGAAGTACGGCCGAGGCCGCGCAGCACCTCTAGAAGGAGCAGGGTCAGCACCAGCACCCTCAGCTGCAGCTCCAACTCCAGTAGGACCTCCAGCAGCACCAGTAGCGCCAACTCCAGCACCCCCAAGAGCACCGGCTCCAGCAGCACCACCAGCTCCCGAACCTCTAGCAGCACCAGCGCCAGGAAGACCACCAGGTGACTCAGCAACACCGGCTCCTGTACCTCCAGCAGCACCAACCCCAGCAGCACCACCAGCTCCAGCTCCCGAAGAAACACTAGGCCCAGCAGCTCCAGTACTTCCAGTACGAGCACCTCCGGCACCTGTGACTACATCACCCTCAACAGCAGTAGAACCTCCAGTACCCGCAGCGACACCAGCCCCAGCAGCACGACTCCAACGCCGAGCAAACAACTCGCGCAGCTCCAGTGGAGAGAGGAGCTCTCGCCTAGGCGAAGCACTCGAAGAACCTCCAGGCTCCGCACCCCCAGGCTCCGCACCCCCAGACTCAGCAACCTTAGGCTCAGCACCCCCAGACTGAGCACCCCCAGTCCCAGCACCCCCAGTCCTAGCACCCCCAGGATCCGCACGCACAGGCTCAGCACTCCCAGACCTGGCACCCGCAGGCGCAGCACCCCGAGCAGCACCAGAGTCAACAGCTAACTCGACAGGCTCGACTGCGTCTACCTGAGACACACCTGAGGGGGCAGGACCCTGAGGGGGGAGGGGGGCTACCGGGGGGGGACCTAGTGTAAGGAAGAGCAGCGGGGTGGGGAGGGGGGCAGTGCGGTAGGGGAAGAGACGGTCAAACGTGACGTCCTGGGAGGACAGAACACGCCGCGAGGTGGGGTGTTAAAACTGCCAACCAGGCGCGTCAGGGGGGAAGCCAAGGAAGACGCAGGGAACAGCACGGGAGGACAGCTTGTCCACAGACAAGTCTCGAACGAAAGCCCGAGATCCCCAGACACGGAACGCAGACGCATCACCAACCTTCCCCGTCCACCGCAGGGTGGGGGAGGTCTCCGGCAAGGAGACACGGGGCTGAAGGTTGATCTGCTGCGCCGCGTACTGAACCGCAAACGGCCACGGAAAATGGGGAGCAGCCGCATGGATCATGGACGTACGAGCGACGTCCATGACCATGCCAATGCGGCGCTCAACAATCCCATTCTGCTGTGGAGAAGCCGGAAGCGTGAACGTCTGGCGGATGCCCCTCGCACGGCAGAAGGCTCGCAGAAGGTCGGAGGAGAACTCTCCACCTCGGTCGGAGTGCAGACGCAGAACAGGAAAGTCCGAGCCGAAACTCTTCCTGAGCTGGAGATGAGCAGCGCGGATCCAGTCGATCAACACCTCAGTGACTTCACCCTTGGTGCGCAAGGGGAAGACTGTGGTGTAACGCGAGTAGTCGTCAACCACCAGAAGGAAGTAACGCTCGTGACCCTGTCCACGGACGCGGGCAGGGCCCCACACGTCCAAGTGAAGAGTCTGCAGCGGAGCCTCTGTCGGCGGAAACTCGGAGGATTGAGGAGCGGCATGCTGCCGCCCCTCGACGCAGGGAACGCAGGTGGGGCCAGGCCCCGGAGGAAGAGAATGGAGGGACCGGGGGAGGCCCGAGACAAGGAAACGAGAGGCCATGCCTCGGAGACGAGGCTGGGAGGGGTGACCAAGGCGGTGGTGCCAGAGGAGAGTCTGGTGAGACAGCAGACGACACGAGCAGGGGACAGACTCAGGACCAGACCTGGACGCTGCAGCAAACACCTGACTCGACGCAGCTACCTGAGGAGACTCAGTAGTCAGTGTGTACAGGCTCGACCCCGGCTGACGGGTAAACGTGGCCAAGTGTCGGCCCGTCCGAGCACACGTGCAGTGGGTCACTCGCTGAGGCGCATGAGTGAACCGGTCAACTCCTGCGTCCTGTAGGCCAGCACCACTCACCAAATTCGTAGAGAACGAGGGGAGGTAAAGACCTGACAGGGAGCCAGAAGGGGCTGCCGGACACGGTAAGAGAGTGGAGAAGTGGGCAAGGACGGGACCCCCAGAGGGGTCTGCCAGGGAGATTGCAACCGGCCGACTAAGCGGCGTGAGTGTGGTGCGGTCTCGAAAGAAGGAGCGGAAAGCACCCGAGTCAAGGGTGAAGGTGTGTAACACCTGAGACGACGTGGTACCTGAGAGAGCAGACTCACCACCACCTGGGGCAGCAGACTCACCAGCACCGGGGGCAGCGGACTCACCAGCACCTGGAGGAGTAGACGCACTAGCACCTAGAGCAGCAGCCTCACCAGCACCTAGAGCAGCAGCCTTAATGCCCGGGTCAGGCGGAACACACAGGTACCAGTCACCCACATCACTAGTAGGCAATGCATACATGGCAGTGAGGATAGCATCATAGTCAAGAGCATAGATATCTACCCTCTGCCTAAGCAGCTCCACCCAGTTGGGGAGCTCAGCGGCGTCGCCAAACTCCGTACGCCAAACGTCGCTCAGACGGGCAAATCAGCGAGACTCGGCGTGACCAAGCGTCCCGCAGGGCTGACCAGTCCGAGCACCAGTGCGAATGACGTACTGACAGCGAGCAGTACTCGGTGACCCTCCACGCTGAGCGTACCACTCACGAAGCCCGCGGGGCGAAAGGACCGCGCGCGGACTACGCTGCAGCTATCAGAAAGAACGAACATGAATGATTGAACTAACAGTGAAATCAGTACAAGTACCTAACCCTAGAATTGTGTACCCCCTATAGGCTAACCCACTGTAGCCTACACAAGCATAACATATAATGTTTGACACACCCCCATAGGCGAAGTGGGGGAGAACTAGGGGTCACAAGACCAATCAAGGCAAAGCAAAGCAAAACAAGCTCAGGGTGGATCTCAAGGATACCACACAAATTCCGAGCACAAGCAAGTGGTCAGAAGACCAGTTCACATGCAGGTTTATAATAGAGCAAGAGGTACAATGATCACAACCTATCAAGAGAGAACATGCAGGTATATATAGAGATCACAGTACAAACAGAGTCAAGAAGTAAGCAAGTGAGGTCCAGTAGGCACAAGGCCTAGAAGAGTGCAAAAGCGCTGATGGTCACAAGGCTGAAGCGCCTTGGTGAACACATCAGCAGTGTTGGCCTCAGTGGCCACGTAGCACAGACGAAGCTGACCACGCTGCTGCAGCTCTCGAGCACGGAAGTAGCGCAGAGCAATGTGCTTCGTTCTGTGCTCCAGTCTGTGCTCCTAACACAAGGCAATGGCTGCCTTGTTGTCGACATACAGCACTAGAGGAGAACGAGGCCAGCTCTCCAAGGTCGGTCAGCAAGTAGGTGAGCCAGCGTAGCTCCTGGGCCGCCATGGCTGTGGCGTAGATCTCAGCCTCACAACTGGAGCTGAGAACAGAAGAAGAGCATGTAGAACGCCAAGAAACTGAACCAGAGCCAAGACTGAAGGTGTAACCCTGAGACGACCGCTGAGTAGCCTGATCGTCTGCCCAAGAAGCGTCTGACTGCCCAGTGAGAACAACTCGGTCTCGCCCTCCAAGCACAAGCCCCATGCTCGACGTACTGCACAAGTAACGCAACACCCTCTTAGCTGCATCCATGTGCTCCTTCCGGTGACGGCCGGGAGCGACATAGCGAGCAAGGATGCTGAGAGGGTATGCAAGGTCAGGTCGAGTGCAGGTCATCAGGTACATGAGGCAACCCACAAGCTCTGGATACAGGCCACTCGGCTCTACGGACTCATCCGAAGGCAGAGCTGAGAGCAAGTGACCGGTAGGCAGAGGAGTGGGCTGAGGCGAGGAGTACGTGAAGCGGAACCCAAGAGCGACGGGTCAGCAGTAGAAGGAGCGAACCCAAGAGCCGCAAGTGTAGTCCTCAGTGTGTCATGCCACTCACGTGGCGTCTGGCGGAGACCGTAGACTCGCCGCCGGAGGCTCCACTGGGTACCAAGAGGGAACGACCCAGTGAAGCCAGTAGGGCGGCGCAGCCAGATCTCCTCGTGCAGGCTGCCCTGTAGGAAAGCAGTGCTGAAGTCAAGAGAGTGGAGCTCGTAGTCACGCTGAGCGGCAACGTGTAGCAGAACCCGAAGAGTGGTCATCTTCGGGGTCGGGTAGAAGTTCTGGAAGAAGTCAACTCCCTCTCGCTGACTGAAGCCTTGTGCAACGTAACGCGCCTTGAAGACAGGCGGAGAACCCGGCGGCCGCTTCACCCTGAAAATCCACATGCCACTGACGATGTTCGCCCCAGGTGGGGGAACCTCGTCAACGTAGGTGCCTGTGGACTTCCAGAAGCCATCTCTGCGTCCATGGCTGTCTGCCACTGAGAGGAGTAGGGACCGGCCATCGCCTCTGCGTAAGAGCGTGGGGTCGGGATGTCTGGTGCATCCGGGTCTCCCTTAGGGGCAACAAGCATGGACACGAGATGAGGCAAAGCAGCGGCAAAGCACTCAAACTCCTCCTGCCTGTCCTCAAGGCAACCGTGCCAAGAGCACACTCACCCCCGACGGACGGAGGACAGACAGACTCAGACTCAGCAACAAGACTCGCAGCGTAGTCTAGACGACACGTGGCAGCAACGTCGACAAGCTCAGCAACTAAGGCAGACGCAGCAGCAGACTCAAAGGAAGGGTTAGTGACAACAGTAGCTAGGAGACGCGTGACAGTAGGACTGGTAGCTCAAAGGGAGTCAGACTCCGGGTCAGCAAGAGCAGGAAGAGAGGACGCAGGAGGCGACGGGAGAGGGACACGCTGTGGAGCAGTGGACTGACGAAGCGCCATCTGGTGAGTGCCTGGGACAGCAGGAGGACGCTGACGCGGGACACAACGACCAGTGGTAGCAGCACGAACAGGCGACGCTCGACGAGACGCAGGCAACACAGGACGTGACTCAGGCTCGCGACGCTCAGTAAGGCCTCCAGTCGGACCAGTGTAAGGAGCAGAGCCAGGGAGAGGGGAGGCAGGCGGGAACTGTGGCTGTGACTGGACAGACGGCGGACATTCTAAGGCGGGAGGAGGACAAGGAGGAGGAGGCTGACCAAGAACCTGCTGAAGGAGCGGAACGAAGTACGGCCGTGGCCGCGCAGCAACTCCAAAACCAGCAGAGACACCAGCGTCAGGGTCCTCAGCACCAGCACCAGCTCCAACCCCCGGGTCCGCAGCACCAGCAGCAGCTCCATCTCCAGGGTCCTCAGCACCAGCAGCAGCACCAACGTCCGGGGCCTCAGCACCAGCAGCACCTCCAGCAGCACCAGCAGCACCGCCAGCAGCAGCACCACCTCCAGCACCAGGGTCCGCAGCACCAGTAGCAGCTCCAACTCCCGGGTCCTCAGCACCAGCAGCACCTCCAGCAGCACCAGCAGCACCGCCAGTAGAAGCACCAGCAGCAGCAGCACCTCCAGCACCAGGGTCCGCAGCACGAGCAGCAGCTCCAACGCCCGGGTCCTCAGCACCAGCAGCACCTCCAGCAGCACCACCAGCACCACCAGCAGTAGGGTCCGCGACACCAGGCGCGCCACTCCGAAGAGTGCAGCGTCGCTCGTACCACTCACGAATCCTCTCACAAGAGAGGAGCTCCCGACGAGGAGGGGAAGCACCAGCACCAGTCCCAGTGATACGCCTGGCTCCAGAGGTACCTCTCCGGAGGCTGCAGTACTGAAAGTACCACTCATGCAGCTGCTCCGAGGAGAGGGCTCTTCCAGGTGTAGGACTCCCAGACTCAGCACCCCCAGACTCAAAACCCCCAGACTCCGGACTCCGCGGCTCAGCACCCCCACGCTCAGCACCCCCAGGCTCAGCACCTCCAGACTCCGCAGCCCCAGGCTCAGCACCCCCAGACTCAGCACTCTCAGGCTCCGCACCCCCAGGCTCCGCACCCCCAGGCTCCGCACCCCCAGGCTCCGCAACTCCAGGCTCCGCACCCCCAGGCTCCGCACCCCCAGCAGGACGAGAGTCAACAGCTACCTCAACAGGCTCAACCGGGTCTACCTGAGACACACCTGAGGGAGCGGCACCCTGAGGGGGGAGGGGGTCTACGACAGCAGCACCTGGAGCGAGGAAGAGAGGCGGGGGAGGGAGCGGGGCAGTGCGGTAGGGGAAGAGGCGGTAGTAGGGGACGGACTCGTCAAAAGTGACGTCCTGAGAGGGCAGAACCCGGCGCGAGGTGGCGTGGTAAAACTGCCAACCAGACGCGTCCGGGACAAAGCCGAGGAAGACGCAGGGAACAACACGGGAGGAGAGCGTGTCCGCAGACGTATCGCGGACAAAAGCTCGAGAGCCCCAGACACGGAAGCGTGACGCATCGCCAACCTCCCCCGTCCACAGCAGTGTGGGCGAGGTCTCCGGCAAGGAGACACGGGGCTAGAGGTTGAGCTAATGCGCAGCGTAATGGACCGCAAACGGCCACAGAAAGTGGGGGGCAGCCGCATGGATCAAGGAGGTACGGGCGACCTCCATGACCAGGCCAATGCGGCGCTCCGCAACCCCATTCTGCTGTGGAGAGGCCGGAAGCGTGAACGACTGGCGAATGCCGTGCTCAGCACAGTAGGCTGCCAAGAGGTCGGAGGAGAACTCACCACCTTTGTCAGAGTGCAAGCGCAGGACAGGAAACTCCGAGCGGAAACGCTCACGCAGCTGAAGACGTGCTCTGCGGATCCAAGGGATCAAAACATCAGGGACCTCACCCTTGGTGCGCAAGGGGAAGACCGTGGTGTAGCGCGAGTAGTCGTCAACAACTATCAGGAAGTACCTCTCCTGACCCTGCCCACGGACGCGGGCTGGGCCCCACACGTCCATGTGGAGCGTCTGCAAAGGAGCAGTCGTCGGGGGAAACGAGGAGGAGTGAGGAGCGGCGCGTTGCCGCCCCTCGACACAGGGAAGGCAGGGAGGAGCAGGCGAGGGAGGGAGGGGAGGAAGGACCCTGGGAAGACCAGAGACAAGGTACCTGGAGTGCATGGCACGAAGCCGCTGCACAGACGGGTGGCCAAGGCGATGGTGTCAGAGGACAGTCTCGTGCGCCAGAGAGCGACACGAGCAGGGGGCAGACAGCTGACCTAAAGTGGACGCAGATGCAGACGCAGCGACCTGAGGGGACTCAGTGGTCAGTGTGTACAGGTCCGACCCCGGCTGCCGAGTGAAGGTAGCCAAGTGACGGCCCGTACGAGCACACGTGCAGTGTGTCATGCGCTCGTAGGCAGGGGTGAACTGGTGAACACCCACGTCTTGGAGCGCACAACCTGCCACTAGGTTCATAGAGAACGAGGGGAGGTGGAGACCTGATAGTGTGCCTGACGGGACCGCAGGACAGGGAAGGACAGTAGAGGAGGTCGCAACGACCGGACCCCCAGAGGGGTCAGTGAGGGAGACAGCAATTGGCCGAGGAAGCGGCTCAAGGGCAGTGCGGTCACGAAAGAAGCAGTGAGAAGCACTTGAGTCCAGTGTGAAGGTGTGCAGTGCCGCAGTAGACTCAGTACCAGAGGGCGCAGACTCACGAGCACCTAGAGCAGCAGCCTCACCAGCACCTGGGGCAGCAGACACACTAGCACCTAGAGCGGCAGCCTCACCAGTACCTAGAGCAGTAAACTGGATACCGGGGTGGGGCGGCACACACAGGCGACAAGCACCATCTGTACTAGTAGACAATGCATACATGGCAGTGAGGATAGCATCAGAGTCAGAAGCATAGATATCTATCCTCTGCCTAAGCAGCGCCACCCAGTCGGGGAGCTCAGCGTCGTCGCCAAACTCTGTACGCCAAGCGTCGCCCAGACGGGCGAAGCAGTGTGACTCTGTGTGACTACGTGTCCCGCAAGGCTGACCAGTTCGAGCACCCGTGCGAATAACGAACGGGCAGCAAGCCGGACTCAGCGACCCTCTACTCTGAGCGTACCACTCACGAAGCTGCTGGGTCGAAAGAGTCTCGCACGGGCGACGCTGCTGCTGCTGCACCGGGCCACTACACGAAGCTCCCGAACTACCGACTCCCGAGCGACTCCCACTACGGCCACCCCAACAACCCCAGCTGGCGTACCACTCACGAAGCTGCTGGGACGTGAGGGACACACGCGGACGGCCCTGGAGCTGCATCTGGCTAAGCCAGGAGCAGCAGTAGCAGCAGGAGTAGCAGTAAAAGCAGGAGCAGCAGTAGCAGCGGTAGCAGTGCGGGCAGGGCAGTGCTCACCAGTGGTCGGCGCGGCAGGCGCAAGACGGTGGCGACAGCGGGGCCGCTACAGGTGCAGGGCGGGGCCGGGCCGCGGTAGGGAGCTCCGCGGTAGCTGCTGCAGAGCAAGGCCGGGCCGCGACGGCAGCTGCTCCAGGTGCCAGGGGCGGCTGCTGCAGTGGTGGCGACTCCAGGGGCCAGGGGCGGCTGCTGCAGCAGTGGGCGGCTCCAGGGGCTGCTACTGCAGTGGCGGGCGGCTCCAGGGGCGGCTGCTGTAGTGGCGAGCGGCTCCAGAGGCTGCTGCTGCAGTTGCGGGCGGCTCCAGGGGCGGCTACTGCAGTGGCGGGCGGCTCCAGGGGCTGCTGCTGCTGCAGTGGCGGGCAGTAGCGGGCGGCTCTAGGGGCTGCTGCTGCAGTGGCGGGCGGCTCCAGGGGCTGCTGCTGCAGTGGCGGGCGGCTCCAGGGGCTGCTGCTGCAGTGGCTGGTGGCTCCAGGGGCTGCTGCTGCAATGGCGGGCGGCTCAAGGGGCTGTTGCTGCAGTGGCGGGCGGCTCCAGGGGCGGATTAGGTCAGGGCGACACGGCGAGCAGGGCGACGCGGCGGGCAGGTCGCGACGCCGTAGGTAGATGGCGACGCGGCGGGCAGGTGGCGACGTCGCGGGCAGGGTGACTCGGCGAGCAGGTGGCGACGTCGCGCGCAGCCGACGACGCCGCGGGCAAGCGACGCCGCCGCGGGCATGCGACTACGCCGCGGGCAGGCGACGACGTCGCGGGCAGGGCGACGCGGCGGGCAGGCGACGACGCCGCGTGCAGGCGACGACGCCGCGGGCAAGGGCTACGTCGCGCAGGCAACGACGCCGCGGGTAGGCGACGTCGCGGGCAGGGGCGACGTCGCGGGCAGGGGACGACGCCGCGGGTAGGGGCGACGTCGCGGGCAGGGCAACGCGGCGGGCGGCGAGAGCGGGCAGGGGCGGCGCGCGGTCGGGCAGAGGCTGCGCGCGGGCCTGACGTGTCTGCAGGGGCGGCTCTCGGGCCTGCAAAGGCGGCTCGGGGTGGGCCTGACGGGTCTGCAGGGGCGGCTCTCGGGCCTGACGGGCCTGTAGGGGCGCCTCGGGGGCCTGACGGACCTACAGGGGCGGCTCGAGGGCGCACGAGGGCGTACGAGGGCGTACAAGGGCGCACGAGGGCGCACGAGGGCGTACGAGGGCGCACGAGGGCGCACGAGGGCGTACGAGGGCGCACGAGGGCGCACGAGGGCGCACGAGGGCGCACGAAGGCACACGAAGGCGCACGAAGGCGCACGAGGCCGTAAAGGGGCGGCGCGCGGGTCGCTAAGGGGCGGGTTGCGGGTCACGGGGCTTTAGGGGGCCATGAAAACGAGGCGCACTAGGGCGCATGTAGGTAGGTAGGTAGTAGCGGTGGGCCCTAAAAAACGGTCCTAGCGAAGGACCTGCTCTGATACCATATCAGAAAGAACGAACAGGAATGATTGAACTAACAGTGAAATCAGTACAAGTACCTAACCCTAGAATTGTGTACCCCCTATAGGCTAACCCACTGTAGCCTACACAAGCATAACATGTATAATGTTTGACAGCAGCTGCACCTGGCCACTACAAGCAGTTCCCGAACTCCTCACACCAGAACGACTCCCACAACGGACACCCCGACAACCCCAAGTAGCTTACCACTCACGAGGCTGCTGGGGCGTGAGGGACTCACGCGGACGTCGCTGGAGGTGCATCTGGCCACGCCAGGAGCAGCAGTAGCAGTAGCAGCAAGAGCAGTAGTAACAGCAGTACGGGTAGGGCAGTGCTCACCAGTACGGGCAGGGGAGTGCTCACCAGTGCTGCAGTGGCGGCTGCTTCAGGGGCGGCTCTTGCAGGGGTGGCTGCTCCAGAGGCGGCGGCTGCAGTGGCGGCTGCTCCAGGGGCGGCTACTGCAGTGGTGGCTACTCCAGGGGCAGCTGCTGCAGTGGCGGCTGCTCCAGGGGTAGCTGCTGCAGGGGGCGGCTGCTCCAGGGGCGGCTGCTGCAGTGGTGGCTGCTCCAGGGGCCTACGCGCGGCGTAAGGGGCCGTAGAGGGCCTAACAGGCGGCGCGAGGGGCCGTAAGGGTGGCGCGAGAGGCCAAAGGGTGGCGCGAGGGGCCGTGAATGCGGTCGCTAAGGGCGACACTAAGGGGCCGTGAGGGGCCGTGGGAGGGCGCGGCGGTAGGGGGCACACACGAGGCGCGACTCGGGCACGCGCGCTTCCCTAAACTAAAAAAAATGAGTTAATAGGTGGGCCCAAGGAAGTTTCCTAGCTCTATACCATGTGAAATGTCGAGTGAAAAGTTGACTAAGGAAGAAATGTCGAGAGTACAAACTCTAAGGAAACAACCCCCTAGAGTCAACCCCACTAAGCCTAACAAATATCTCTAACATATAAACATATGTTTTACATTCGGTTTCCACCTAATTGATTTCTACTGAGTTCGGGAAGGTTATGATCGGGACGCTTCGCGACCCTCAGAACATTCGCGTAACACCTGGGTAACTAGCCTTGTGTTGAGACTATATATAGCCTCGTGTTGTACCCAGGTGAATCATTCAATTACAATTCTCTTTTCTGAGCTCGATCCTAGATCTCACACTTGGTATCAGAGCTTGTTTACACGCGAAGTTTTCGACCGCTAAAACCTAGCTTTTAAAACCGCGGGGGCGACGACGGAAAGCGCGAATTTCGGGTACGAATACCAATTCCGCGCTATTTTTTAACGTCCCCCTCGAACCGGTTTTCGAACACTCCTCAGGTCCAGTGGCGAAAAAGATGGAATTTCGACCGTCGGATCGATTCGAATCTCAACGGCCCTGAGAATTTCGCCCAAAAAAGTTGGAATTTGGAGCGTCGGATCGAATTTCTTCTCAACGGCCGAGATCGGACGCGAATTTCAACTAAGAGAGAACTACGCGACTCACAGTAAGATGACCAGCACCTAGACTTCAATTATTTCCGTCGCAAATCTTCGTGTAAATCGCCAAATGGAGGAACACGGTTATAATTCCGTTCGAAAAAATACGGAGTTACACACCGACATGGACCAGACGCAAGCGGCACTACAGTGAATAGAGAAGCTCCTCACGAACCAGTCGGTAGCCGCCACATCAGCAGCGAACGTAGCAGCGAATGCAGCAGTGACGCCAGCAGTAGCAGCAGCGACACCGACACTTCACCCAGCAGCAGCGGCAGCAGCTACAATGAATCTTGAGGTGGCCCGTCCGAGGCTACCAGAGACGTTCAATCCGAATGCGAGAGACACTGACGTTCGTCGATTCATTGCGACTCTCGAAATTTA